AGGTATTTTCTCATGTGTGGCCCGAAGGCCGCTAGGGCGTAGTAGGAATACATGACGACGTGGATGAAACTGTTGACCACTCCATAGGCTATATCTGGGGACAGATGGAATTTGACATGTTAAAACTGTACACTGAAATCATCCTAGCGGGTTAAATGACGGCATATTTATATTGTTTTATCTGATAGAGGGACCTATTACGTTCTTTTCTTAATTGCTAAGAAACATGATTATGTCTTTATGGTCAATGATTTGACTGCTAACCCGAAAGTCGCGAGTTCGGATCCCGAGATCGATTCTGGACTTCCCAAAGTCCACCCAGCTCTGATGAGCACCTGACTCACGTTAGTGAAAGTAAATGCCGTAGGCAGTGCCGGCGCCAGGTTATTTAGCGCCCTAGACAAAACTTATTAAAACGCCCCCTTTCTCACAAATTAATTACTAAAACACATGTATAAGAAAACAATTAAAAGTGACATTTATTTATTATCAATTGCATACACGTTATAAGTAGACATCACAATCATATTGTACTTTACTCCTTTTGTCTCAAAAGTTTGTACAAAAGTTTGTACTCATTCCTTCAATTCCAGTTTGCAAGCGTAATCATATTCTATTGAAATTGTTGCTAAGTCAACGAGTCTACTTTGTACTTTACGACCTAGCCCCCCCCCCCCCTTAGAAAAAATTCAAGTGTTTCCCCCCCTCCCCTCCCCCCCCCCCTACCGGGAGAAAAAAATCTGGAGAAGAAAACACGGAAAAAACAACACAGTTCTTGAAGTGTTGGGCTCTCTGCAGACCTCCCAAGGTGAGTTCCAGAACGGAACTTACCTGTTTTAAGCTTGACTGTCTTTAGTTATAATTGTAAAATGTCTATATTGTGTGATTATGTAATGATTTTTTTTTGTTTTTGAAAAATAAAAGGTTATAAATGTTATAGATTCCAGCCTACAATTGTTATTCATGAATCCATTAGGAGAGGGAGAAAAATTCACTTAATTAATTAAATGATTAATTTGCGACTAAGACTATTTTAGGCGCATTTATTGCACTATCTCATCTCAATTTGTATGTCTACTAACATCAAGTATTGCAATCTACAACGTCTACTGATGTATTTGTTTTTCAACTTGATAATGCTAAAAAAAACTAAAAAGTTAAGCAACGAATTATCTCCCATTTAAAAACGCCAATACCAAAATTTTATTAAAGGGAGATAACTTTTACAAAAATAGCTACATTAACTAACTGTAACTAAGACATGCTTGTAAAACACAATAAAACGTTTTAAATTTCATTACATTATAATTAAAACAAATGTTTTATATTAGCATTGTAACAGTGTTAAAAATTTTTTTTACTAATTGACTACTTAACTGAAGGTTTTATTTGAAAGTCTAAAGATTGTAGCTTTATTGTAACATACTTCTAATCAATTACGATGACCGACTTCTTAAAAGGGTGTTAGTCCTTTAATGTTTTGAGAAAATTTTGGATCCCCTTATTTAAGGGACACCCTTAAAAATTCATATACGGGTAACTGTCTAAGACAGGGGTCGGCAACCCTTGAGACGTAGAACCAAAAGTTACAATTTACAGAATTTCCCAGTTTAAAAAGAGCCACATTACTCCCAAATCTAACCGATTCATGAAAACTTACCAAACAACTACAATACTTTGAACACCCCGACATTACAAAATTCTATACACCAAAACAGATTTCTAATTCAAAGTCAGAGAAAACGAGACTTACAAGCCTATTAAAAACCAAAATTGCCCGTGCTTTGGAACGCCCCGCCATGCGCTTGAGCGATCACTAATCAACATTCAAATTAGATAACCCTCGGAAATGTTCGAAATTTAAATTACGAACTTATTTAATCGTTTTCTACATCAATTATGTGACACCAAAATAAAAAGGCTGACTGGTAAAAAAAACAACAAAAAACGCCCCGACTGTTCCCATATTAGGGAGTTGGGGGTTGCATTTTCACCTTCGCAAATAAACATAAGCCTACATAGACCTAATTTTGGTGTGGGGGCGCAAAATTTATAGTTCGTCCTGGGCGCCGAAATAGATCGCTACTCCTTTGTATATTACCATCTTTAGTTTATAAAATATAGTCAAAGATATTAATTATTATGCACCTTTTGATAATAGCGATACAACTTTTTGCGCCCTCCTAAGGATGGCACCCTAGGCGACCGCCTAGTTCGCCTTATAGTTAGCGCCGACCCTCGAGGCAGGGCATAGTATGTACTGACACACTATCCCTTTATATGCCGAGGTCACAGACACAGGTGAACTCTACTTCATCTGACTTATAGACCGTAACTTTCGAAAGGGTACTTGACATTTGATATTGAATAATTAAAGTTAGTTTAAATAGCTTGAGATATTATTTTTTTAAAAGGGGAACAGACAAAAAATTATCTAAAAGCAGTACATTTTATCGGTGTACAATATATTGTAAATCTGCTCACTTGAAAGCCACCCATATCACCAAAAGGAAATGTACTCACTGTTGCCCCCCCCCCCCCCAATAAAGTAACATGTACTCACTGTTATCCCCCCCATACTACCATACTAAAGTAACATGTACTCACTGTTGCCCCCCCCCCCCCCCCTCTAAAGTAACATGTACTCACTGTTGCCCCCCCCCCACCCATACTAAAGTAAAATGTACTCACTGTTGCCCCCCCCCCATACTAAAGTAAAATGTACTCACTGTTCCCCCCCCCAATACTAAAGTAAAATGTACTCACTGTAGCCCCCCCCTCCTATACTAAAGTAACATGTACTCATTGTTGCCCCCCCCACTAAAGTAACATGTACTCACTGTTGCCCCCCCCCCTCTAAAGTAACATGTACTCACTGTTGCCTCCCCCCCCCCACCCATACTAAAGTAAAATGTACTCACTGTTGCCCCCCCCCCATACTAAAGTAAAATGTACTCACTGTTGCCCCCCCTCCTATACTAAAGTAACATGTACTCATTGTTGCCCCCCCCACTAAAGTAACATGTACTCACTGTTCCCCCCCCCTCTAAAGTAACATGTACTCACTGTTGCCCCCCCCCCCTCTAAAGTAACATGTACTCACTTTGCCCCCCCCCCCCTCTAAAGTAACATATACTCACTGTTGCCCCCTGTGAAAAAGTTGAGACCGACCCAGGTAAACATGCACATGGAGGTGTGGTGGTACACGTGCAGGAAGGTCACCTGGTTGTTCTTCTTACGTAGGATGAAGAACACCTGCCACAAACAACATTGTGGTTAACATAAGAAATCCCCAAGCTTAACACGTCAACATACACATACAATAAAACAGTGAAGACGCATAATCTATTTGACTAATATCCTTACGTTTAAATCACGGTATTTTACAGAAAATTGAAATCGTGTCATTTTAATAAACATAATTTAAAAAAAAAATTGGATTAGAAATAAAAAAAAAAAAACAACAACCACGTGACCAGTAAGTATCCTGTAAAGTTCAAAGGTCACATACCGTGTCCAGAAACTCGATCATCTTTGATACAAAGAACAGCCAGCCTAAGTTGACGTACTGGTGATAGGAGGTATAAATATATAACATTGAGAACACGATCATAACGGTTGATATGACATTTGTTTCATATATATATATATATATATATATATATATATATATATATATATATATATATATATATATATATATATATATATATGGCACCCCGTCAAAAGAGCGCACGACAAAAGAGCGCCGACATAAGAGCGCAGACAAAAGAGCGCCGACATAAGAGCGCCGACATAAGAGCGCAGTCAATTAAAAAAATACATGTTGTATGCTAAACGAATATGACATGGTTAATACTTGTTTCAATTAAACAATCGGCGGTACGATAAAACGACATGTGTTTATTTATATATTAGTATAATATGTTATGAATGCAGTTTGAAAATATTTCTAACCCAAGTAACATGGAGAGGATCGAATCAAAGAAAGGGGAGGTTATTATATTGGTGGTAGGCAGGGGCGGAACTACAGTGCCGCCAGACCCCGCAATGCGGGGGGGGCCCACGCCATTTAGGGGCCCAGAGCCGACCATAATAAAAATTTTTATAGTTAAAAAAAAAGTAAAAATTTTTATATTTGCGGGGTGGCCCTTTTTTTCTAGTTCCGCCACTGGTAGTAGGCTACAGATATAGAAAGGACAAAGCAAATGCTGATGGAAGTACGACATTGAGATACTGCAAGAAAGATAGCTGCCGAGCACGGATGAAAATGCTGAACGATGTTGCTCTGTCATCATCGGAACACAATCACGTTCCTGACCCGGCTAAAATTGAAGCAGCGAAAGTTGTTTCGGCTATACCAACACGGGTAGTGGAAGGAGTGGAAAAATTAAGGCAGATTATACAACAAGCTAGAGCAGGTATTTCGATGGAAGTAGCACCTCATTTGCTGGCTTAAGTCGCTTCACAACGTGCAATAGAAAGACAGAGAAAACGCAAGCAGCTGCCATACCCAAATCCACAGAACGTTGCAGAGATACCGATTCCCGAACCTCTTCAAACGACAACAAGAGGGCAACATTTAATCTTGACGTTTACAGAATGATGATGTTCGGAACAATGGATATTATCAATCGTCAATACCAGTATTTTAATTAAAGAAACTGTACAATTAGTTTTTTAATGTAACAATAAAGAGTTATCATCAAACAATACCTTCTGATCTGAGTTAATTTTCTTGTTCCTATTTATTAAATATGGTTTTTCTATCTTTAGTTTGCGCTCTTATGTCGGCGCTCTTTTGTCGGGAAATTAGTGCGCTCTTATGTCGGTGCTCTTATGTCGGCGCTCTTTTGTCTGCGCTCTTATGTCGGCGCTCTTTTGTCGTGCGTTCTTTTGACGGGTCACCTATATATATATATATATATATATATATATATATATATATATATATATATATATATATATATATATATATTTTTTTATTTATTTATTTATTTATATATACTAGCTGTATACCCGTGCTCCGCCATGTGAATATTTTTTAAATGTACCAACTGTGGAACAGAACGAAACTTACACTAACACAAAAGAAAACACAAACGCAAACACAACGAGAAGGCAAAACACTAACACAAACGGAAACACAAACACAATGCAACCACAAACGCTAGCAAAAATGCAGACGCCAAGCAAACGCAAAAAACACAAACGATAAAATTCCATAACGTTTGCGGTGTATGGCGGGAGGGGGTTCTTACCCTTCTCACACCTCACTGCCAACGCCAACGTCAAACTAACGCCAGTGATAGCACTCTCAGTGTGATCGACCACGAACATGATTGAGTAAAGAGATGGCAAAATAAAAGTTGTGCTGGGCTTTTAAGGTAATAGACTGACATGTACTTACGTAGAAGATCTGTGGACAAAAGATATAAAGACGTTAAAATAGTTTGTTGACAATATCAGTAAATTAAAATACGTTAATAAATTAATGTATATGAGGCAAACTTTCAGGCAGGCAGGAAGACAGGACGACAAACAGACAGATAACCAACCGACCAGACCAACTGATTGAATGATTGAACGATCGATTGAATGATTGTGTGATTTAAAGCAATAGGCACTTACTAAAAGCTCGTCTGGAATGGTTCTTGTGTCACCGGATCCTTCACAGAATACTTTAAACCCTCCCAGATTGTAAATTCCGAACATCCCCTAAATAAAAAAATAAAAATAAAAATAGCACAGCGTTCAATACCTGTACTAAAATTTGATACATTTTAACTTTGTTTGGGCCTCGCTGAGAAAATAACTTAATCTCAACAGCTATTAACAGACTAATGTATTTTTTGTATATTTGTTGTATTATTTTCAAATACGTCAAACCGCGTTGTATTATTACCACACATTTATTGTAAACCCGATAAAAAAAAACCCGAATCAAAAGCCGAATTTTAGTTGTATAGCTAGGAATGCAGCTCAGAAAAACATGAAAATTAGTACCGCTTTCTTTTTTAATGGAGGCTGGGCATGGATCTGACCGTACTACAAAGGTCACGGAAACAGGAGAGCACTACTTCACCTTCTTTATTGACCATCAGATCCAAAGGAGTACTTTATTTTTACTCTTTTGTAGAGTTTCTTTCAGACATCCCCCCCCCCCCCGAAGCACGTCTACCCCCTCCCCCTTCCCAGAAAGAAATTGAATTTATATAGAAAATATATACTTTCACCATGCCCCCCCCCCACATACAACCCCCCCCCCCCCCCCACACACACACACACACAACACCTAAGAAAAAAAGTCTGAAATAAACTGCTCTTTTGAACCCGAAAAAGAAACCAAAAAACTAAAAATGGAACTTTTAAGAAGGGAAGTAACTCACCCCAAAACAAATTATCGATGAAATGATGACCATCGTTATGTTGTACAGGATTATCGGAACTTTCAGGTTCATCGGCTTTCTGTTCTGCATGAACTTTGGACCCTGCCACACAACCAGGAGATACAGGGCCACCGTGGTCAGCAGGGCGACTGGCGAGTCCATGAACGGGTAGCCGTAGCAGAGCGGCTCTGGGGAAATAAAAATGCTTGGTATAGAAGAATAAGTATACAAAATGCCAGATAAATCTGACGGAATAGCGACCAAAAAATTATATATTTATAAAAATGTGAGCTTTTACTTTAATATGTGCTATAAAAAATGGATTATATTTAAAAAACAAAGCGTCGCTTTTGCAAATCTAGATTAGAAACAAAAGGGAGATAAGTCTCTGCCTATCTGGTTATGTATTCACATCATGTGCCATAGGTCAGGACTTCATTTGGTGTACCCTATGCCAGAGGAGTAATTGAGATGGTGTTTGATACCCAGCCGAATAACATGGAATTTAACTCTGCTGAAGTAATGAAATACAGCCGTCTCGTATCTCAAACTCATGAGTCATGAAGTAATGGTTTCGTTACTAATTTCACATGGACGCTAATCGCATAGATATGAGTTGAGCTTCCATCATCTAACCTTAATTAAACAAACTTACCTCGTCCGATAATTACATAAACTACCCTGAATTACCTCCCATAAATCTCCCCTGATTACCCCCACTTACCTCCCATAATCTCTCCCTGGCCACCCCCACTTACCTCCCCTAAAACTCCTTCTGACCAATCCTTACTTATCTCCCCTAAATCTCACCCTGGCCACCCCCACTTATCTCCCCTAAATCTCCCTCCTGACTACCCCACTTATCTCCCCCCCCCTAAATCTCCCTCCAGACTAACCCGCTTACCTCCCCTAAATCTCTCCACTGACTAGCCCCCCTTACCTCCCCTAAATCTCCCTCCTGACTACCCCCTCTTACCTCCCCTAAATCTACCCTTAACAATCCATCACTTACCTCTCTGCTCCATGGCATCGTTGTACAAGACGTGCAGACGTTCCAACAAAGCCATGATGGTTTCTACACACTGCCCTCTATCTTATGTAGACAGGCCTGCAAAATACATCAGCGGTTCTAAATTATATTAACAAACAGAAGAAAATAATAATCCCCATATAGACCTATTAACAACTACACCTTTTATGCTTGCAATACATTCTAATTTAAATATGTAATATTATTTCTTTATTCTAATTTTTTTAATGCTATACTACTGCTATTATCGTTACTATTTAATTTTTAAAATTAAAAAGCTCTTATTATGTTTTTAAAAAAAAAACGGCAAAGGGCTTCTATGTCTACTGTTGTTCCCGTTATTGAATAAATATTATTATTATTAATATAATAAATGAATAAATAAATGAATAAACTATATATATATATATATATATATATATATATATATATATATATATATATATATATATATATATATATATATATATATATATATATATATATATATGCATAGTATGTACATACTATATACAGTATACTATCACACACATATATAATATACATTTATATACATACATATATATATATATATATATATATATATATATATATATATATATATATATAATATATATATATATATATATATATATATATATATATATATATATATATATATATATATATATATATATATACATAATATGTAAGTATAAGAACAAGGGTATATATCTATCTATATATAAATAAATAAATAAATAAATAAATATATATATATATATATATATATATATATATATATATATATAACATGTAAGTATAAGAACAAAGTCCTGGTTTTAAACCTGAAGGAGAAACCCGCTAGAGCAGACGGCCAATGGACTAACAAGGGATGACAGATAGACCAACCGCGTTAAATTGTCACGATTATGCTAAACCGATTAGTTGTCTTTGCATTAAACATGAAATTTGCGTCAACCAAATTGGCAACTGGCCTAATCCTTAGGTCTTCGGAAAAATAAAAAATGGCCTGTGGCTAGTGAATAGGGTTTGAAAACAATTCGGACCGCGGGCCTTGAAGACGCGTATATCTTGACAGGCTTCATATACTCTGTGTACATTTTTGTACGACTGTTTACCAATTTGTGCCTATTTGCACATCTTAGTACATCTTTTTACTTTCTCGTATATACGTAGTATAGAGAAAGTATTGTAATCGTGCAAAAAAAAAAATCGAGATTTTTACAAATCTCGACGTTTTACACCTCACTGATACGGAAAAACATAATTTTGCAATCTTGTCCGTATGTCTGTGTGTGTGTGTGTCTGTCTGTCTGTCTGTCTGTCCGTGTGTAAACACGATAACTTGAGTACCGTTACAGCTAGGTTGATGAAATTTCATATATAAGTATTTTATCAAAATCGTAGATCCGTATCAACTTTTGAGCGATTTCCGATAACCGGAAGTGGTACTTTTCCTACTTTGAATTTTTCAAAAGCCTATAACTTGAGTACTATTTCAGATAGATAAATGAAATTTCACATGTAAGTAAAAGATCTAATTCTCTACCTTCTGTTAAATTTTGAGTAATTTCCGTTGACTGGAAGTAGTAATTTACGCTACTTCCGATTTCTCAAAAAACTAATGTAAATTTTTAAAGTACTAATAATATTGCGCACTATTATACGCGTTTTTATTCGGCGTTTGCTTGGTGCGCAATGTTTTTTTTATGAGATTCTATTCTATTTTTAAAAGTTTAAGTATTTAAAATGGATTAAAAATCATAACTATATCCCCAGTTACCATCCCCTGTTGTTTTATATAAGAATATTCGAGAAAGTTTAGGGGAGATCACTCCCGGTTTATTTCTTCTGTATACTATATCGTTGTTCCTCTTTCGTACTCATTTTACACTCCTTTGTTCCACTTTGTACATTATCTTTGAACCTTATCTTTGTACAACGTTGGACCTTTTTTAACCTGCTTGTACATGTATGTGCTTATTTGTACTTCTCTGTATTTTATCTTTATACCACTTCATACATTTTTGTACCTCTTTGCACCATATCTTTGAGTTCATCTTTGCGCCTCTAACCTTTTTGGTTCCTGTTTGTATCTCTATTTAAATGGTCGAAAAAATATCGTTAAAGAAATACAAAACACAGATTAGTTACTCCTTATCCCCAATAATCCCACAGCCTGTATCAATTATTCTCTGTTATCTTCTTAGAGTGCAGGGGAGGCTACTTGATGATACATTAACATAAATTGTTGTTTCTTTCCATTATAACTACTTTCACTTTCGCTCACTAAACATTTCACTAGTGTGTGAAATATGTTTTAAACAGTATATAGACCAGCGACATGGAAGCTTTACAAATGGCGTCTCTTAAACATGACATCTGTGTTTGACATTCTTCCTAGGTATGTGGACATTTCGACCAAGTTGGATCAAGTTTTATAGCAGAAATGAAATATTCGAATGCAAGAGTTTTGGGGGTTGAAAACTACCTCAGGTTTTCAGCACTTTCTCATTACTAAAATAACCTAAAACTTATTGTCTTAGTTGTTTCATTTGACACAATGGAACTAGTCTCAGATTACTTCCCTTGTAGTAAAAAATATATTTATTTAGGATTTTTACAATAAGAAAAGGTCACAAAATTAAAAAAAAATATTTAAAAAATTCAAAACAGGAGTTTGTTTTTCTATTTCTAAGATAATTCAAATATGACATGATTCTATTAGTCCAAAATGTCCAACGCTGGAGCTATTTGTCATTTATCAAGCTCTTGACATCAGCGTATCTGTACAGCAACTATGACACGCGTTAGCCAAACAGAAAACAGCAACACATTTTGTATACATTATACAAGTGTACCAGTGTCAACAGGACGTACTTCTTAGTACATTATACACACACCCACTTCATCATGAAAAAATATGATTGTTATCATGTACAGTACCAATGTGTATACTTGATGTATTACGCCAGTACCAATGTAAGCTTGGTGTTTTAAAAAAAAATTGGTCAAAAAGTTGGGTGTGTTTTTGGATGAGAACGGGAAGGGAAGAGGTGTAACTGGTGAATGTTCAGTGTGAGTTTTTACCTTTTTCTTTGCGTACAAATAAAAAAAAAACTGTTATTATACTTTACTGAACATTATTTAGAAGTTTGAATTTGTTCTGTTTTCTTTTTATTAATTTCACAAGACAAGCTTAAGAATCAATTGTCTAAGTAGCTACAACAACGGGCCGGATTTGACCCGCAGGCCATCGTTTGCGCATACCCTGCCTTAAACACATGCAGCAATATATACGTGTGAGGTAAATCAAGAAGCTATGCGAGTCATCAAAAGAACGTGAACTATCTTTGTATGTTTTAATCTAAATCCCAGGGCCACTACTGTAGCCACTAGTTGTTGTAGTCAAGTTAACACATAAAATACCAACACACACACGCATGCACACACACACACACACACACACACACACACACATATATATATATATATATATATATATATATATATATATATATATATATATATATATATATATATGCTTAAATGTGTGTATGTGCATGCGTGTTTTTGTGTGCAAGTGTGTGAGAGGACACACGTACGTATGTACACAAACACACACACTCACAGCTTAGCTTATTTATAATTCTCTTACCGAATAACGTAAGGGTACTTAAACAAATCATTGTTTGCAGAAAAAAATATAGCGTCAAATCGCTGAATACTGAATGGGCCTCTCAAAATAACAGTTGTTTCATTTGACATAAGGGAACTAGTCTCAGATAACTAATAATACATAGATTGCTTCCCCTTGTATTAAAAAAATATATCATTAGGATTTTCACGATAAGAAAAGTCACAAAATTTAAAAACACAACTTTAACAGTGTTTTTTTCCTGATTTCTAAGATAATTCAAATATGACATGATTCTTTTAGTACAATATGTCTAAAAACACAATAGAATACCCTATTACAGTTGTTAAATACAATTAGATGTGAAAGAGAAACATAATAAAGGTATTTATTTAACAACACTTCGCCATGATTTCAAATTAAACTAAAATCAAACAATGTTCTTAATTAATAAGTAATACATTTTTAAAAAAAATATTGTTGAAAAAATATTATTAGATTTTTTTTTTTTTTTTTTTTTTAACTTAACAAAAATTTTTATTCACTTATCCTGAAGACAATCATACATAAATTCTGTACTAACAGTATGCTGCTGATCAGACTATACACCAAACTTGAAAGGAATACAGTATGTTGTTAAATTTTGCCAGCAAAAGTACCACTTGCGCGTTGATCATCCCATTGTTCTACCCAGAAAGAAGGACATAGATGTGAATATACTTTTTTAAAGTATTCACAAGGGGCATATTCTTCTCCTTTTATTTTCTGACAACGGAAGTAATCAACATAGTTTTGCCAGCAGTTTCTTGTCTGATTTTGATTAGGGAATCTAGCATCAAAAGGGGGTGACCAAGGCTTATTTTTCAACTCAACTTCTGACATTTTCAGCTTGACCTTGCAACAGGATAAAAATGGGTGAAAAAATATTATTAGATAACAGTGCAGCTGGTTAAAAGAGATTACACTTCAATAAATGAAAGTCAATTTTTATATTTTTAATCTATTTTCCCTATTTAACGTAATGACCCTTCTACTAGCTGAATTTAATTCTATTAAAAATGTAGTTGTAAAATATTTATTGATGGTACTACGCTTTGTGTTAATTACTTGGCAAAAATTGTGTTTGAAATACAATGTACACAAACTAGATTCAGCGTTCATATTTACTATTCATAACATGAGTAGTCCACTTTCGATTATCTACAGTGGAACAGTTACTTCCCTTTTATGACACTTATTTGAATAAAATCTAGTGCTTGGCTTATACTTATATGACAATGTACAAAATCGATAATACATACGACAAATAACGTTGAGACGAGCTTTATTGTAAGCAGATTCAACCACGTATAGCACACAAAATCTAACGTGGAGTAGTTATGTATGCATATTTATATAACCTTGACTAGCTTTAGAACAATTTTTTTTTATTATAAACTGG